TGTAAACTGTTTTCAGCTTAAAAATTATTTTCAGTCGGTCATACTATAATATCTGGAGGGATTATTACTCTGACCCCCCCCCCAAAAAAAAGGTTAAATATCTGCTTCAGAAACTGACTAACAACTCCAAACTGATATTCCAAATAATTCAATAAAAACTAGCAACTCCCTAAATGGAGCCAAACTAAATCAGATGATAAATGGCTCAAATTGCAGTGTATGCCCATTCTACACAGCACCATCAAAGTGAGGTCAGCAATGATGCTCTGCTGACAGGTGGATGCACATAACAAAGCTTGCACACATTGAGATAAAACACTATATGAGTATAATCACTAGGGAAATATCCCCATTTATTATCTGTTCCATATAATGGCCTTCCTTACCAATGTGTAGTTCTTATGTATCATTTCATCCTGTTACAAAGCAAGGAATCTGTCTCCTGCTGACAATGTATCACAGTTCTGTTCATATCGGTTGCTTACCAAAATATGACTGCATTTTCTAAGACTGATGTCTACTACAGAACATGGAGCAGGACTAGAGCTAAGACATAAATAACCCCCAGAATGTTGGGTGGCTCCACAAATGTACAGATACTACAAGGGGAACAAGCATATTTGTCCCTGTGAAACAGAAGAAGATTGAAAAATCTATTAGCATTCACATGGAGACTGAACAGGTATTTGTGTCATGTCACTTTGCAAAAATAATCAATAAAAGGATACTCAGAAGAAGGCAACCCAGAACAGACACACCTTAAAAATTATATGGTCTTGGATTCACAAGAATTTTTATGTCCTTACTCCATTTCTTTATTTTTTGACTTCTTTTAATTCAGGTGCAAATTACAATAAACATCTGTCTTACCACCACCAAAGTTGATGCCTTCACAGCTCTGCCAGAACCGGTGGTACCTTTCTCAGATCTCTGGCAATTCAGAACCACTTACTTACAAGCTGCAGCCTAACTTTGGTGTTAATTCTGGGCAGGAAACAAGTGGCTTATATTTGGGGTAAATGTGGTACTTGCATACTGATATGGTTCCCACGGCTGCATTTTTCAACACAATCTGAAGTTAGTAAATGTTCAAATTTTCACACTGGTAGGCATTCAGATCATAGCCTGCATAGTCTTGTAGGAGGGCATGGCTTTCAGTGAATATGTGACACTCATTTCCACATCAAAAATGAAGCTGGAAGCAGCATATTATTTCTTCCAGAAATGGTGGTATGCACTCTACAAGACTATATGGTGTCTCAATGCAGTGGAACATAAGTAGAATGCTGGATATTAACTGATAAACGAGGATGGATTTCAATAACTGGTACTTACTGGTTGCCGAATTCTGATGCAACAAACAGGAATCCTGTTTTCATTACACACATAGCAGATGCAACTGGCACTGTATCAAAATATTTCAGCTTTATCTCTGTCACCATGTCTTCATCAGTTTCCAAAGTAATTTTAAAAATATCTCCTTGTTCAGTTTGTGCAAGGAAGAAAAACATTGATTTTGTCTTGTGTGTTGCTGAACATACAAAAATCATCCCTCTCTCTGGATCATCCAGATCATTCTGCAAGAAAGGAATGCCATTTACATAATATTTTGTCAAACAATTTTTATTTTCCCCACATCCATTTATATCATTCCTTTGCATATGACAAGCACACTTACAGGAAAATATCTGGCTCAAACTTGTGTTACATACCTTTAATCAGAATATTATGAGGGCTATTTGGAAAGTAACCCCATTTATTTGAGTAAACTAATGTTGGAGTGAGATAACTTCACACTTGTAAACCATCATTAATGTTCACCTAGTGTTTCTTCTCGTCTCTACAGAGTGAGTTATAATGTATCCTGTGATTGAAAATCCTGCCTGCTGAGAGACTCGCTCTTATCCGCTTTCCTCACCCTAAAACGCAAGTACTACGGAAATCCATTGTGAAATATGCATGCTTTATGGCCAAAGTGTGATGAGTATGGGACTGTTAGACAATGGTGTAGAATGTTCGAAGATGGGAAGGTGAGCAAATGTGGACGATGAAGAGCGAACTGGTTCGCCATCTGCAGTGAGTGATGACCACAGTCTTTCACAAATTTTTGCTTTCACTGAACAAGATCATCACTTTGTGTGAATTCCCACAAATTTCACGCACTGTTCTCTACAAGATTACCATAGTTAGGTTAGGCTATCATCACAAGTTTTGTGCAAGATGGGTTCCAAAACGGCTCATGGGTGCACACAAAATACAGAGAATGGCTTCGGCTGCAAATTTTTTAAAGTGATACCACGAAGATGGTGACAAATTTTCCAATCACACTGCACAAGTAACAGGTGATGAAACCAGGGTTTCGTCAGTGAATGCTGAGATCAAAGAGAAGTCTAAGCAGTGGATGCACACACATTCACCAAACAAACAGATAAATGTGCCAGAGAGCTAATGGCAACTGTTTTCAAGTGTTGGTGGTGGAATTCATACAAGGTACCACAATAACGTCACAAGTGTATTGCAAAAACACACACATAAATAAAAAACCCGCTGTGTATGGCCTCTCAGAACAAAAGGTATGGAATACTGACATCAGGTGTAGAGCTCCTCCGGGACGAGGCACGTCCCAACAAGCTGCTGGAGCATTTCAATTGGGAGTTGTCTGAGCAATCTCCTTACAGTTCTTGTCTCGCTCTGAGAAACTACCACCTATAACACTATCTGAATAATTGGCTGGCTTCTTTGACAGAGGCATACAAAAACTCGTTCCCCAACATTACAAGTGCTTCAATTCTGGCAGTGGGTGCGTTGAGAAGCAGCTTATGTATGTACATATTTTTTGTATATATTTTCCTCCTTGATTTTTTGTTAACAACACTTTCTAAACAGCCATTGTACATGTAGTTTATTCAACAATCACAGTTCTAGCTAAGGGCATATATGACAAACATATATCACTTGTACATAAATGGGCAAATTGCAGATTATTTACCATGGTGTGTTCAAAAAGTATCGAGCCTTCTTCTTTTCCCGCGTAAACCAATGAAGCGCGGGAGGCTCCCTTCGGTGGAGATGTGGAGGGAACATTCATGTGCAGTCATGAATTTTTCCCGCCTGCAGAAAGCGTCAGTCGCTGGCAGCCGGCCTATGAGTGAGGACGTGTAGTGAGCGCTCGTCGGATTCCAGTAAGGTGTAAAATGACGGAACAACATGAGCAGCGATATTGCATCAAATTTTGCCAAAAGTTTGGGGATTCCCAAGTGGAAACCATTAGCAAGATTCAACAGGCTTTCGGGGATGATGCCATGAGCAACTCACGGATAAAGGAGCGGTACAACCGCTTCAAAGATGGCCGCACATCAGTGGACAGAGAACCGCGTTCAGGCAGACCCTCAACAAGCCGAAATGAGAATGTCATTGAGCAAGTGCGGACTTTGGTCATGGAAGACCATCGTATCACAGCCCAAGAACTTGCGAATGAGATAGGGGTAAGCATTGGATCTGTACATTCAATTTTGACCGAGGATTTGGGCATGAGGAGTGTGTCCACGAAATTCGTACCGAAACTGCTAACAATGGAGCAGAAGCAATGCCATCTGGAAATCGCACAGGACATGCTGGACAATGCAAACAGTAACCCCAACTTTCTGAACACTGTGATCACAGGTGATGAGTCGTGGGTTTATGGGTATGACCCGGGGAAAAATATGCAGTCATCACAGTGGATATATCAGACATCCCCGAGGCCAAAAAAAGCATGGCAGGTCTGCAGCAATGTCAAGGTCACGTTGGCCGTTTTCTTCTACTCCTGCAGGGTTGTGCATCATGAGTACGCACCACAAGGCCAAACCATCCCAAGGGAATACTACCAGGAGGTCCATCACCGCCTTCGTGATGCCGTGTGGAGCAAACGACCGGATCTCTGGGCAGCAAAAACTTGGCAGCTCCATCATGATAACGCACCCGCCCATTCTGTGCATCTGATTCAGACTTTCGTCGCCAAACACAACATCTCTGTGGTTCCTCAGGCTCCCTACTCCCCTGACATGGCTCCGTGTGGCTTTTGGCTATTTCCCAAGCTGAAAATGCCGCTGAAAGCAACCCAATTTGAGTCAGGAGAAGACATCATGTGGAATGCGACAGCCCGGCTGATCACCATTCCAAAAGACGCGTTCCAGAAGTGTTTCCAACAATGGCGGAAGCGCTGGGAGAAGTGTGTGCATTACCAAGGAGACTACTTTGAAGGGGATTAGGGTTTTGGACCTCCAAATCAATAAATGTATTTCTGCAGACCAAAGGTTCGACACTTTTTGAACACACCACGTATTTAAGAGTCCGTTGAATTGCAGACACAAACTTACTTACCCTCCTTCGAGGAATAGGACACCGGATATCATGTTGATCACCCAAGTTCTTATATGTCAAATAGTTTTCAGAGCAAATAAGTACTCCACTGGGTCCATCATTTCCACCAGGAACAGACACCAGGAAATTGGCGTGTTCCTCCAACGGTTCGCTGTATTTACGAACGACATGGTTCAAGCCAAGATCCAGCTCATAGAACGTCAGTGTCTGCTGTGTCTTGTGTGCTGCTTCTCCTGTTGGATCTGTGTCTGCTTCCTAACAAAAGGCAACATTTAGAGCAAAATGACATGCAGTTAATAACATGAGCAACTGAGAAATTCCAGAATTGTTCTTCAGCACAAGCACATAAAAATTACCATCAACAGATACCACCAGAATCCTGATATGGCGTTCCATGACTGAAGGGTTTCCATCATTTAATGTTCGACTTCAACAACCCTAATTCGCTTAGAGGGGGGTGGAGTCTAATTGGGTCCACTTGGCACAGCGGCCACTGATTGGCCTACTGTAGCATGCCCCAGGTGATTATGATGGAGAATTTGGTGGAATGAAGATTGGCAGAGGGAACCGAAGTACTCTGGGAAAATCTGCCCCCGCGCCACTTTGTCCACCACAAATCCCACTTGACCAGACCTGGGATTGAACATGGGCCACCGTGGTGGGAAGCCAGCAACTAATCGCTTCAGCTATGGCGTGGCCCTCAACAATCCTAAGTCAGCAAACTCAGTTTAGTGTTCATGCATTGCACCCAAAAGAAGCCCTAAATCTGTGTAACAATTCTGATTAACTCGTTTTGGTCGTATCTATAAAATGTTCCCAGAAGTGCAAGAATTTTCTCTTCTCCACAGCATCCAGCCCAGCTCTGGGGCTCAACCAGCCTCCTATCCAATAGGTACGGGGGTAAAGTGGGGCATACGGTAGCATAGTTGGTTGAGGCACTATGCTACAAGCCAGGTCATGGGATCAAATCCCAATGAGGTCATTGGATTTTTTTCAATCCTTCCAGCCACACTATGGCCCTGGGGTCAACTCGGCCTAATGAGTACCAGGAATATTCTTGGGGGTGAAGGGCAGCAGGCACGTAAGGCTGACAACCTTGCCACTATCTGAGCCAATTGTCTAGAAAATGTGGGAACCTAAACATCTCACAACACTGTGGGCCTCCACGGCCTGTTACAGGGATTTACCGGGGGTAGTGGTTGGGATGTGAAGTTGATCACTCACCTCCATCTGTTGCAGAGGTCCCCCATATATATTCAGGGCACAGTGTTAACTAAGCGCTGAGACAACTTTACCTTCTTGCTAGTTTTATACTAAGGATAGCAAAGTTCTTTACTGCCAGACTAACAACAGTACTTGCTTATCAGTGAGAGTGGTGGCAGTCACTTTTCACGCCACTAAAGTCAGAAGCAATGCTATAACTACCCCACATGTATAAAAGGTTCCTAAATTGTGGCACTTTGGGTTCTCAAGACAGCAGCTATGAAGACTGCCTTCTGGGATTTTATGCCATGAGTGTGGGCAAGTGTACTGATATGCTTGGGAGGAATTCAACACAGGAGATTAAAAAAAGGCACTAACAGCCCATTTAATGGACTAAATTCTCTCATCTCTTGGCTCCTATTATTTCGTTCACAGTACTTAAGCTGGCCAATATTCAAATAAATATTTCTACACCTGCCCTACTCTTCATCCCTTAAGATGATTACAGCACATTATTCCAGAACTTTGGTAAACATCTATCACATTACAACGGTTTCACATCCCATTAAAATAGTACCATATTCTTCTTTTCCTGGCCTGCATGCAATACTCCATCACTTGTGGGGACATATACAGCCCAATGCTGTATACTTCTCTGGTGGAAATACATTCACAATAAATGGTACTAAAACGAAAATACACCATGTTCTCTTGTATGTACATCTGTTCAGTATTTAAGGTGCAAACAAGACTTAACAGCAAAAGCATCATTTACACAAAAAGACTTGCAACTTGGCAAACTGCTGCAAGCTGAGCACTCTCTACAAATGAAAACAAAGTGTGTTACACTGTTCCAGCCTTGATTCACTCCAACCAAAAACGAATTTGTTTGGAGGCGACAAGTTGGACTACTTAATACTCTCTGCACACATATGATTTGATACTTGGTCTTGTAACAGTGAATTGTGAAACAGACCAATTTATGTGCAGGTCAAATATTCTTCTGTGAAGTACAGTGCACTATGAGGCTCAAAGATGGATGTTTCCAGTAGTTTCTAGTTCCTTGCACAAAATATATTAACCAGTGCTCACATTTACAAGATCATGGAAAGAACTGCCAAGGATTGTGATGAGTGACAAGAATTTCTCCCTTCTGTCTACCACATTTTCTTTTCCAGCTCACCCAGAAATCCCAATGCAGCTCTTTCATTCTTTCATTCATTCATTCATTCCCTTTATTTTCCATATATCCATATAGGCAAAAAAACCTAGGATGTGGAAATAGTCCTTTTGATAATAGATGTACACATATAATAAATTACATTTGACCACCTGATCATGACGGATGAATGTTGGGTCTATCATTATGACCCTGAAACAAAGGAAATGAGCAAGCAGTGGAAACATGCAGGCTCCCAGCCATTAAAGATGGCTGAATCCCAGCTGTTATCAGGAAAGTTGAAGCTGAGGGCATTCTGGGATTAGCGGGGTGTCATCATGATCAACTATGTGCAAAAGGGCGTCACCATCACTGGTGAGTACTACCAGAATCTTCTGAGAAAATTATGGGAGGAAATCAAGAAAAAGGAACACAGAATGCTGAGAAAAAGTGTGGGACTCCTTCACGACAATACACCGGCTCATACTACGACACTTGCTGCCAGTTTGGGATATGAAATTCTCCCCCATCCACCATGTTCACCAGACCTGGCACTTAGCGACTTCCTCCTCTTTCCATGGCTAAAGAAGCCACTTTGTGGTAAGCGATTCCAAGACGATGACATCATTTTTGCAGTGGACTTCCTAAACAGTCAAGATGAGACCTTCTATGATCAAGGTATCCAGTAGCTAATGCTTCACTGAGGAAAATGTGTGCCCTTGCAGGGGGCAAATGTAAAGGACTAACTCGCAATTTCTTGCACCTGTCTCTCTGTTTCTTCTGGGTGATAATTAAAATCTATGACTTCTCCACATAGATACATTTTAAAAAATGCTTAACATTATTTACGAGTCCTAACAGGAACGGACATTTAAACGCACAGCAGCAACAGGAACTTAAACATGCACCAAGAGTGGGCATTTAAATAAGCTCCAGCCAGCTCAAGCTACCAAAATTTCAAAACTCTGGCGTTTAAAGGTTAAGTTCTGTAACCAATTCACAGTAACTCTACTACAGCCAACAATAAATTTCAACTTCTACAATACCACCTGAAATTTGGTGATTCCCTTATGTACACTCCTGTTGTAAAAATGGCCATAATATTCCATAATTTAATTCTGAACCCCCCCAAAAAGTTTTATTACCCTTTGCAGAAACGAAAACAGTAACTTAAACTTTCAGACCTAGTTAGTTATTGGAGAGGGTGGGTTTTCCCATGCACTTAGACCTTTATTGGTCCATTGTGCTTCCCTCTATGATTTCTACCAGTCTCTATATCCTACCGGTACTGGTGCTTACCATCAGTCCCGCCCATCCAGCGAGACCGGCTCTACTAGCTGAGAGGTATCTATAATGCTTCCCCCATCTACTGGAGGTATTAGAGACTGCTGTTGGGCGGGAAACATCCGCAATTTGGCTCAGTGACCTCCTTTGGAGGTATGAGGTTCTTTTACGTGCCGTAAAGCTAAAGTCCCTCCCGGAGGACTTGTTCTCTCAATTTTTCCGCCCTTAAAAATTCGACGACCTCCGCTGGGTATTTGAACCTGCGTACTACGAGTCATGAGGTGGGAACGTTGACTACGGAGGCCGCTTAACTTTCAGACCTAAACTGTTCTCCTATACATGCAGTGTCTATTACAAAGCTTGTAACAACGAATTACAGTTCAAATTACATATCCTACCTCATAGTCAATTTCCAAGCAGGCAAACATTGGATTTTCAAACCCAGCGTCTACACCAACAGTATGATACACCAAAGTGTTGCTTTTGTGGGCTTCAAGGGGAGATGAGATGGTCAACCTTGCCTCTGCATCTCGATTCAAAATATACACCAGCTTCTGTTTCTCGATGGCACCTACGAAACGGGAGTTACAAAATGGCGACTTCAATCAAAATACTGCACAACATGTCCAGAAGTGTGTACTATGACATAAAAACTATACTGCTTCATGCATTATTACAAAACATACATAATAATTTGGTTCCATATCAAAGAGAATGACTCTTCACACAAAGAGCCTATATAAACAGCAGGAAGATTCTTTTTAAGAATAACTTCAGAGAAAGTACATCAGTTTTTCAGGTCTCCAAAGTCTGGCAATGGTCCAGTGAGAAAACAGCAACTGGATATTAAAATCTGTAAGTAAATCTCCGGGGCCAACTGCATACTCCAGATGATACTCTTGGTTAAAATCCAGTGAGGGTTACGTAAGTAGACTTAAAAACCACACATATATGCTTCTAATGTAAAAAAATTATTTCAGTGAATGTCAACTGCATATTTATGTTTGTGCTGAAGTCAATAAACGAATATTGAATATGGCATACTGTCTGATGTAGCCTATACATGTACATGCGCATGCCCAAGGGCACAGACAGACAGATTGCATAGCTTTTAAGACTTTACCAAGGGACCAAGAAAAATAACATTAAGTAGGAAAACATGTTAAAACAGTAGGTTCTGAAATGTTTACTGGCTTTCACATGCACACTACATGTTCCTGCTGTCATGGTTAAATCAAACAGTTTATTCTCAGATGTTACTCTTTCTTGAGGAACAAATTTAGCAATGTTTGCTGTACATCTTTCAATTAAATATGAATAAAATTCTCCAGTTCCCAGAGGTTTATGGTGATGACTGGCATGTCTGGAATGCCACTAATGAAGCAGTGGTGAATACTGGCCTGAAGACAACTGTATCATCCAGTCTTTGGGTGACATTCTCCTTAACAAACATCCTGAGAAGTCACCCCATGCAGTACTGTTATGTCTGCAAGTACACAATAGGGACTTCACATGCTTGAAGCACCTCAGCGTCTCTCACTTTGGTATTCACTCACAAGTGACGGATACACTCCCATTCTTTAGGCACCTGCTTCATCTTCAATTGCATTTTCGCACATCCCACTCATAGTTCTGCAACTAACCCCTGCACAATTTCTACATCAATGAAGCCATCTGTTCAAAGATGTGAATACAATGTTTAGATTTTGGGCTACCTCTTAGGCCTTGTCTCAATATTGGGCCCTAAATAGGGATCACACCAGTTTCTGTCTAAACCGTGGTAGGAGCACTGATTACATTTTCTCATATTTACAAGTTTTCAACTTTCTTTTACTGGCTGAAGAGTTACATATTACTGAAGTAAGCTTTTCTTGTCTACTACATTACTGAGTAGACAACGATAAGCTCAGTTGTTCTGCAACCTTTGTGCACTTCACATGTTGCTGAATATCCATCTTCTGAATCTCTCCAGTTTCTCGGAAACAGTAATGTTTTATGTTTATATAATATACTAGCCAGTTTACTCACAAGCAAACATGATGGAAAATGCTTTAAACATTATATAAATATTACTTTTGGTGATCTATGATTTTAAAATGTTTCGGTGGGGACCTATTCTAGACAGCATCCACTATGTAACAAATGGTTATGCCTTGTTATGCTGTCACTGTGTTAGGACTTACAGACCAAATGACCGCAGTTATAAACAGCCACCACAGGTACCCATGCTTTTACCTGATCCTTTGCAGGTAAAGGTTACACAAGGCATGTCATCATCACAGTGTAAACGGTTAGCATTAGAAAATTAGATTTTATTTTCAGTAAATAACAGCAACCAAATCACTGTACCAAAGACCTTAACCCACACAGGACTTTTTTTTTCATAAGGTTATCTGAAGTTATTTAAGCATATAATCAACGACATTATGGACAGCCCCTGCCTCTATCCAGCAAGTACATCTTTCCAGAACACAGAATGTGAAAATGGCAGCACAGCCATTATCAAAACGTGACTATATTACGGTAAAACCTGTCTTTAATGGTTTCAAGGGTCCAGAACATTCTTCTACTAAAGCCAGGTTTCCATTTAATCAAGGTACACTACAATTAAACCAGGATATGCACATACGAGGGTAAGTCAATAAGTAAGTGACAAATGGATAGAGCTTAAACAAATAAAAAAGAGTACTGATTTGAAAAATGCCTTTATTTCTCAACATGGAGATCCCTTGTACATTGGGGCACTTGTCCCATTGTTTCACAAGCCCCTGAAAACCAGCAGCATAAAATTCTTTGGGCCACTGTCAGAACCAGGCGGTGACTTCCCTTGACACAGCTTCATTGTAGGGAAAATGTTCAGCCAAAAGATGATCTTTAAGAGGGCTGAACAAATGGAAGTCACTTGGAGCAAGACTCATCACCTATGACAATTCAGGCTAGCATACAGAGTCTTTCATCGTGGTAGTGATTGAGATGCTGTAATGCCAGACCTATTCTTTGCATTTTGTGTTGTGGGGTCAGCATGCGCAGCACCCATTATGCAGACTTTGTGAAAACCTAACCTGTCATGCATTATGAGGTAGACCAAACCATGTGAACAACAAATAGCAGTGGCTATAGTGTCTATAGTTACCCTTCTGTAGGGAAGTCACCGCCTGGTTCTGTCAGAAGCTCAAAGAATTTTATGCTGCTGGTTTTCAGGGGGCTGTGAAATGATGTGACAAGTGCCTCAGTGTACAGGGAGATTATGTTGAGAAATAAAAGCATTTTTGAAATCAGTACTTTTATTTGTTTAAGTTCTATATCAATTTGCAACTTACTTATTGACTTACCTATGTATCTGAGACAAAATAAAACATCACACTCATTAATTTATTCACTCTAATCACTGAACACAAGCAAACATTACACTGAAAAGAAATGAATTGCTGTCCTCAGTTTTTATAATTTTACCAGAATTCAAAAGGCTTCTTTGCATGCAGTTTACTCTATGGGCTGCCTGACTTTCCGCAAATACTTTAGCTTGAGAAATTACCTTGCTCACTCACAAATCACCTTTACTCTTGAGTTAAGATCAAGCACAACTCTTGCCTTTGCAGCCATGATGACAATTGCTAGACTAAAGTAAAACTGTAGGCTTAGAGCCCTTACTTACTAACATTTCTGGAAGGGGCAAACAGTTCAGTTGAATTTCAGTGCAGGTAGTGCAGTACTGTTAAAAGATGAATTGAAAGAGATAAAACAACATTCTCTAGAATGTATACTTACCTACTTACTCATGGAGCTGAGCCCTTCTGGAGGAGCCGCCAATTCTACAGCTACTAAAGAATTTCTCAGCATTTTATGGAACCTGAAGGTTCATCACCATGTTCACAAGAGCCCTCCACTGGTCCCTACCCTGAGCCAGATCTATCCAATCCATACCATCCCATTCTATCTCTCTAAGACCCATTCTAATACCGTCCACCCACCTATGCTTTGGTCTTCCCTGTGGTCTCTTTCCTTCTGGCTTTCCCAGCAATATGTACAGGATGCCTAAAATTATTCTAGATGATGCATTCCAGAAAACTGGAAATTTACCGTATAAAGGCCTATTTTGATATCTGTTTCCATGATAGACAGTTTGCATTTAATCCAGGTTATTTAACATCTTTTTCAGAACCAAAAATTCATGCAACCTGAAGTATTTCTGACTAAGACATGGTTTACCGTATTAGTTATAATTCATATGAATATTTTCAAAATTTCTGAAGCTACACAATACTGTGCCTTCTTGTAAATGCAACTAGTTCATTTTGGGTGAACACTGCAGCTGTAGAAATGTTTTCCTAAGTGTTCACCCAACACTGTTCCCAAAACCACTGAACTATACACTGTGCAAGGTCTGGCCTATATAACTCTGTAGCCATGCATGCAACATTATCAACTTTGTGATCATTTTGTGTCAACCACTTTCAGGTCCGGTAAACACTTGCAACCCATAATGCAGCCCCCTGGCTACAAACATTGCTCACCCTTGTATTGGTACCTACATGAAATTTATTGAATTCCAAATAAATTTATCACAATTATGACCAGTGGTAACTAACATCACTGTCCAAAAGCTGGAAGTTCATACAGCTGGAAAGGACTGCGATTTGTTACTGGTTAATGGCACTGTACACTACAAGCATGTACAGGAGCCCATTAACATTACCTATCATAACAGCTCTTCCTTTGGGATCGATTGCCAAATATTGGCCAGGTACGATTCTTCTGCAGCCACTTTTCCCAAACGTTTCTTGATGCACTTTTTCAAAAATATTCTTTGTGCTGATATATTCCAGGATGACAATCCTACCCGAATCTGAGCCAACTACAATGTAATCTGAAACCAAAACAACAATCACATACAAACTGCAATAATTCATAAATTAAGAATATATTTATACTGTTGGATGATGATAACCAAGCAGCAAGACAAAAACCAGCCATGCTCCAACGATGCTGAACATCCGATTACTGTAGCACTGTTATGACGACCTATGCATGGAGGGAACCCATGCACAGGAGATACCACAGTGCATATGAACCCTCAAACCTAAACACTCCTTCCCTCTTCCCCCAAACAACAAGGATTCTCTGGTATGATCCACAATTAGGGCTTGAATTTGGCCTTACATGGGCACAGCTTAGATCTCTAAATGTTAATGTGTGTCAGCATCTAGACTGAGATACAACAACACGTGTCAACAACTGCTGGGAGCTGAAGGAGTAAAGCATGATCATCACAGAGTCCCCTTCACAGGAGAATCCAACATTTCTCCCGCTCAACTTGGCCCCCCATGCACTGCCAGTAATCAAGGAGCCAACAAATCAGAAAAACAAAACCCAGCCAGATAAGAGCAGGTAGAACAAATGCTATTCTGTTGTACTTCACACATGTGGCATCCGATTATGCCACCAGGTTCTCTGTAAACNCGTGCAAGGTGGTTCAGTAATTTTTGAGAATGTTCAAGCCTAGTGCTAATTTCACTTTGTAGTGCATCTCATATCATAATTCAGCCCCTTTTAGTCCCATTACAACCATACTTATTTATAACTGCATTAAGATTTTTTTTTTTTGTTTGGAATGCCCTGAGATGTATGATAGAATCTTTTTATTTTTTCTTTCATACCAGTTTTCACACTATCATTCATGAAAACACACGCAAGCATGTAACTAAGTGGCATTTTGACACTTTCGATAACATGGCTGAGTGAATAACTGCTTACCGTATAGCCAAATACATCAGCAGTGATAACATGAGGCTTAGGATTTATGAACAAGCCACACTAGCTGTCCTCACAGTTTATTCAGGTGAAATTGTCCAAATCTCTACTTGACCATCTTGACAGAAGAAGTGCCTGTCTCTTCCACCTGAGCAGTTCAAGGACTTCTTGTTGGCCATTTAAAAATATCTTTTCAGTATTGAGATTATATATCTTCCTCAGCAGACTACTTACTGCTGGACAGTATGATGAATCAGATTTGGAAAGCCAGCACAGCCCAAATACTATCCCAGTTTTGAAGGCCTAGGAAAACCCAGTCAGAACTGATACCCAGCCAAGATTTGAGGACATTACCTCTTAAACACAAGTCTGGACTGTTACCTCTAGGTTAACCTGTTTGGACTCAATGACTTGCAGAAAAATCTGAGATGTCTGCGCTGCAGAATTATTAGCATTCTTGGCTTGTTGCACATGTTACAGCAACAAAGTACACAAGCATATACAGGGTGTCCCAGGAGGAATGGACCAAACTTTGGGAGGGTGTTCCTTATGTTAAAGTATGCCGATATAACCCAAAACACCTATGTCCAAAGTTGAACGGTTACGAAGATAATGGCCCAAGAAAAGTGTGGTCTTCTGGCAGGTCCACGCACTGTACCTCTCAGCTGAGAGGCCTTATCTATGTTTGTCCTTGAGTGCGATGATTCACCCTAGCCGTGCTTATGTAGTTGGCTTTATCAGAATGCGCAGTCAGCACGTTATGTCAGCGATTGCCATTCATGTGTCATGTATAGTGCTTGGAAACCCTAAGGACAATTATAACATGGCGAGCGAGTATTTTGTACTTCAATTTTATGGCTTCATGTCACTCACAAGTTAGTTTGATGTTACGTACATTATTAACATTACAGAATCCACATATTCCTGCCCATTTTAATATGTATTTTGTAATCAACAAGTGTGCAATGCCGGTCAAAGTTTGACACTTCTCTGGCCATTATCTCCGTAACCGTTCAACTTTGGACATAGGTGTTTTGGGTTATATTGGCATACTTTAACATAAGGAACACCCTCCCGAAGTTTGGTCCATTCCTCCTGGGACACCCTGTATATGAGTTCAAGTTCGAAATTCCTGGGTACACATGTGAAGACCCAAATTTAATAATGAATATGCAGACTGTCAACCTCTATGCAGAACCTGTTATCAGTTATCACAGTATCTCTTCAGACCTAAAGTCCAGCCTTCATGCCTGCCTTGTGGAGGAAAAATGACAAATTCACAAAAGGCAGAGAGAGATCCCTCTTCACTGCATCCAAACCAGCTCTGGGGCTCACCCAGCCTCTTATCCAATGGGTTCTAGGCAATCTTTCCTGCAAGGAAAGGTGTCAGGACATGAAGGTGACCATGCAGTCCTATCTAGTGGCAAGAAAAAGAATGAACTATACATTCATTCTACATCAGGTCTTTCTCTAGTATTTGATTCAGAATGGAGAAAATTTTATGTTAACTTGGGGACAACAGGAATCTCCCCAGTTTCATGCCTTCAGCGCTACTGCTCCTGAATGAAACCTTAAATGGGAGTTCCACTCTGCAATACAAGTTGGAACATCAAAAGAGTATGCAAATACATCACAAGACCCTTACCTTTTGTTCCTCCTGTCAATCGAAAAGCCATTAAGGATCGCACTATTCCAAAAACTTCAACAGTCAAGAGAGTATGTACTTTCCCAGTGTTGGGATCCGGACGCAATAATTCAAGAGACTTCCCCCTCGATACTAGTATCTCCTGCATCTTACTGCCACTGAAATTGCCATGGACAGCATGCGTGATGCCTGTGGCACGCTGCAAGGTTAAGTTGTACAGATGCATCTTGCATTCAACGCAGACGTGGAACACTTAATTCCTGCAATACATCACCTAAAACATAAAGATTGCAACAACATGAAGCAACTCAACAAACATCACAAGAATATATAAAACGAAGTGAAATACCATTAAATATCTTTACAATTGTAGCCACAAACTTTTTTCCCTATACCCATATCCTACATCACAGAACTCTTTACAAGACTGACCTATCCCTGTTTCTTACATATCAAATGGAATCGGCCACTTGAAGCCTATCAACCCTTTTAATGTTATAATCCTCAGCACTATACTTGCATGTGCACCTGAAGACACACAGTTACTACAATGAAGCCATGAAAAAAATCTGTGGACAGACACCCTGCACATCCGCAAGCTGCCACATTTCTACCATTAGCAGTCTTTCATACATTCCCTACAAATGTCCTGCTGCCCCGCTTCACCAGTGACAACCGATTTGGGATGGCTGACAGGCCAGAGGGGCCTGAAACAGGAAAACTATCGAACACCATCATCCAGACGATTCCTGGGGCTTAACCCCCCCCCCATATTCCATCAAACTTATTCATTACAAGGTATAGTCTCTCTCCAAAATAAACTGAATACAAAAAAAGCAACCACTCAAAATGCTTGTAAATGGAAACACATGACATCTACAAACAAGCAATGCTGTAAAATGTCTAAAATAAGTTCATGTTATTGCACATATATCTCAAATAGCATAACATTTTTCACTTATTTCAAATACTACATAATCAAGGAGGCAGCTTTAAATCCATACTAGTTACAATCACCACATGATTTTAAAACTTATTTGAACATCTGTTCACGGGACCTGAACCAGCTTGCAGTATCTCAGCTGGAGTTGCCAAGAAAGCGGTCAGGGACTGGACAAACATAAATCACAAAAGCTATTGGGAATCCGTAACTGGACTCAAACAAGCAAACTTACACTTGGGCTCTCTTCCAGAAGAATTAAGGATATGTTAAAATTAGGCAGAGACCATTTAAGATGGATGGTATGACTGTTTACAGGACACTGTCACCTAAAGGGAAACCTTTTTAAACTGGGATTGACAGATGACCCCACTTGTGAACTGTGCCTAGAGGAAGAATCAGCCACCATGCCATAGCTCAAGAGGTTAGTCACTGGCTTCCTGGGTTCAATCTTGGGTCTGGTGGTGGGATTTGTGGTGGATAAAGTGGCACTGAGACAGGTTTTCTCAGAGTACTTCGGCTTCCCCTGCCAATCTTCATTCCACCAACTGCTCCACAATCACCCTCTCCTATCATCTGGGGCTGGTACAATATGCCAGAAGTGGACGCAGTACAAGGGAATTAGTCCCATCCCACTAGCAATAATAATAATAATCAGCCACACACATCCTATGTGATTGTGGGGGCCACAGCTTATTTAAGATTCTGTCATCTGGGCCAATTCTTTATTGCACCAACTAGTAGTATGATGCCCCCATAAATGAAGTCCTACATTTCAGTCTAAGTGTAGGATTGATAAAGGATCAAACAAAAATGGGGAAGCACAAAGATCACTGAAGGTTCTTTGAAGTATCTGCCGCTGAATCAGTAATTTCCTCCTTAGGAGTTTCTTTCTTATTCTATGTATTAGTTTCAACAGTTTTATCACTGTCATATGAATGTAAGATGTCACTGTTTAGAATTTTGTTATTAAATCATTTATTATCACTGAAATGTTATTAATCTTCTGTCCATTTGCATCATACTTGTATTTACTAACACTTGCTTGAATTTTACTTTTGTCCATATTATTTCGTACAGTTTTACTTGGTGTGAGAATCTCTGCCTTCATTGCTTCAGTTGATTTAATAACCCCACTGATGTCAGATAAAATTTCAAAATGATTACTTGCTCTTACATATGTTTCCTCATGGTCTTTTAACTTATCTGTTACCTTCTTTTGTTGATTTGTTTGTATTTGGGTCCAGTTTTTTCACTTGGAGATATTTGGGATCCATTTCCATTATTTTGTATGACACTTTTATTAGCACTAGACGTGTCTGCAATGCCCAGCTCTTCCTTAAAAATTTCTATAATTTTTAAGGCAGATTCCAATTCCATTGTGATCTTACTCACTTCCAACTTTAATCCTGCGTTGACATTGTAATTCCAAGCGTTTCATTATTTCCGTAGTAATAACTGGATCATCATTCACTTCCAAATCTACACTGTCTGCCATGATGGACTGTAAACCCAAACATCTCCTGATGGGAAGACACATTGTCATATCGACTATATTTTGATATATACGAGACGGCATTCATACTTCGATTATTCAGGGCAGCAGATCGTGATACTGACCACTACCTGGTGGTGGCAAAGGTTAGGGAAAGACTGAGTAAACAAACAGTGCACAGAGTTCATATGGGGTAGTTCAGTCTCAGGAAATTAAACAAGGTAGAGGGTAAAGAGCAGTATTGTGTTGAAATCTCAAATAGGTTTGCAGCTTTGGAAAACTTAAAGACATTGGGGTGGACATTAATAGTGTGTGAGAAACTATCAGAGAGAATTAGGTTACTCTCTAATGTTCTTGCTTTTACAGTTCATTGCAAGCTGATCAATTTTGTCTTTCAGATATTCCCTCTTTCTATTCCTGAAATGCCTGCTGGTTTCAAATCTTACATTGTTCAGATTATCTCCATTTATTTCGCTTTGATCCTGTAACCACTGAAATTTGGCTCGTTTTCTTTGGTCTAATAATATTGAGCATCCTTCATCGAACCATGGTTATGCTTCTTCAGTTCATAATAACCTAGACTCTCTTTGGCAGAAATTGTTATATTCTAAGAGTTTCTCACACTATATTAATATCCACCTCAGTGTCTTTAAGTTTTCCAAAGCTGCTAACCTATTTGAGATTTCAACACGATACTTGTTTAATTTCTTGAGACTGAAATACCCCATATGAACTCTGTGCACTGTTTGTTAACTCAGTCTTTCCCTAACCTTTGCCACCACCAGGTAGTGGTCAGTATCACAATCTGCTGTCCTGAATAATCGAAGTATACTTGAATGCCGTCTCCTATATATCAAAATATGGTCATTATGACAATGGGTCTTCTCATCAGGAGATTGTCCAAATACATTTTAGTGTTACGATGTGGGAACACTGTACTTTTGACAGTAAGATTTTTTGATGTGGCGAAGTTTACTACTCTTAACTCCGTTATCATTACTAATTTTGTGCCAACGCTCATTCCAAATCATTGGTTTGAAAATGTCTTCCTTGACTACTTTGTCACTGAAATCTCCCAACAAAATTTACATATGGTACTTCGGGAATTTATCAAATACAAGTACTAGTACTTCGTGGAACTATCCTTTATATCACTAATTTTATCTTCCGTTGGGGCATGAACATTCAGAACGACGATATCACACCAGTGACCTCTTAGTATTGTGTATAACACATGAATCGTAACTATACTTCATTAATTTTTAATGCTCTTCATATTATCTCATTTGAATAGCAACTGCAACACGTAACTTCAGTCAAGCGTTAAACGATACGCCTTACGCTGTCATGTGCGTCTTTGGGGTTTGGTTAAGACGACGCAACCTCACTGGTCTGAATAGTTCCATAACCAATGATATACATATGTCGAAATATCACGGTAAAGAATTCGAAGATTTCCTTTACCGCTCATCGAGCAGTAAAATTTGGAAATCAAACTAAATTGAATTCAGTTACTAGACGCCACTCGGACGCATCTAGCTTCACACACAAAGTGTTCTAAGTTCCAAGAGAAATTTCAATATTTTAAGCAACTTGTGCAATCAGAATACACCAGACACTGTAATATAAAAAAATAGAGTTAAGAAATAATAAAAAAAAAAAAACCTTGCGTATTCAGTCGTGTATAAATATTGCTCATATATTGGGAAGCAGGTAAAATATACAAATACATCTCACAAATTGCTCATATATTGGGAAGCAGGTAAAATATACTAATACATCTCACAAATGCTACTAGTTAATTTCACAGTTGTTTCGTACTTACAAAACCTAAAATGTACAGAATTCCACCCTAGATTAAACTGGATTATCCTCCATTTCCAACCCAACACATATTCCTTCCTCATCAACAAACATTACAATTGGGCGGAAACACATAGCCTCGAGTTCAAGCGGATGTAACTGTACTTCTTCCTTTTCTCTTCACACTACAATATCATTGGTTTACAGCTAAATGCCACAAAACTCACGTCCAATTATTTCAAGCAAGAAAATTCGCGGCAAGTATTTTATTGGGTGTGCAAATGATACGCTCATTTCTATTGGTTCACTCTATCGACTTCCAGTCCAGCCCAGCACACGCATTGAGGAAGTGACGCTTTCATAATCGATAGAGCCGCGCCTGCGCCCAAAGTATCGAATAGAATCAAGTAAGTAGGGCATTCGATATATCAATCAGCTGTTCCTTATACGGAGAGGGAACAGTTCAAAAGACATCTTTACGCTCCATTTCCGAAGACAATTCACCTGTTGCCATGGTAACAAGACGCAACTGGTCATCCTAATACAGTGGTTATCATCTTATGTAAATATTCTTGCCTGAACTGTGGTAAGTCTTCAAAACCAGTTGCCTATCAAGGGGATGGGAATAGGCAGCTGTAGACTGTCTATTGTCAGGCGAAGCTTTATTTCGTACACAGAACAACTTAAAATCATTAATGCATCATAGTGTCCAGTGGCCGTATGTATTAAGATACTCTTCATACCAAAGTAGGTTATTCTAAACAATACATGTTAAGTGGAAGGTCATAATTTGGGATGAATCTTTCGTGATTCCCACACCTTTCCTATAGTGACCAACAAAATTGTTCATGTTGATAGTGAAATATGGTATTTAGACCTATACTCTTGTTACAGAAACAGTACTTCTGATACTTTGCAAATCAGTTAACACAACTACAATGGATCTTACGGAAACAATGAAGAATATCGTTGCAAAAGGAATTCAAACAGAAATGGGTCCACCATTCCCTGGAACTGGTTATGTTACAGAGAAGCTATATATGTTGCTACAATTATATCTACAAAATAAAGGATGGAATCCTTCAGTTGAGCTTTTACAGTGCTTTACTGAGTTGAAAGAAACTTCCATGCTCCCTAGTGCTGCATATCTACAGTAAGTTCTAAGAGAAAGTTGACCATTATAATTATCACTTTAGTGCATTATTAACTGAGCTGCACTAGATGCAGAGTATGTTTCCATATCATAAGAATCATAAGTAAAATGAGGGTACTGAAACTTGTAAGTTTTTATAAATATTGCTAGAAATATGTATATTTTTTTCCCCCTCCAGAATGATGGCCTCGAGGGTTGCACTAGATGGCCAAGGAAGACTTATTTTAAGGGAAAATGGAAAGATAATCCTTCCATATGAGCATTTTGCTAATGCTGTCATGTTAAAGCATATGAATGGACCACATGGCCTTCATCTGGGACTGGAGGGCACCATCCGGGCAGTAAGTTGCTATTTCTGTACTGATACTTCATTTCATCATAACTGAAAAATATCTCTCACTGCACATAAAATTACTTTCTCAGATAATACTACTAATATCAAAATTAGGGGCACATGGTAGCATAGTTGGTTGAGGCACTATGCTACAAGCCGGAAGGTTGCAGGTTCAAGTCCCAATGAGGTCAGTAGATGTTTCCTATTTACAGAATCCTTCCGGCCACACACTGGCCCTGGGGTCGACTCAGCCTCTAACAGAAATGAGTATCAGGAATATTCTTGGAATATTCCTGGGGGTAAAGGGCGGTCGGCATGTAGGGCTGACAACCTTGCCACCATATATGAGCTGAATGTCTACAAAATGTGGGAACCTCAATATCTCACATCCCTATGGGCCTCCACGGCCTGTTACATGGATGCCTTTACTTTACTTTTTACTCAATATCAAAAATAGATTAGTATAGTTTCAATGATCATAGATATTTTATTTTTAACATGTTAAATAATTGTTGATGTATTAGTTTTTTTTTTCAGCATGATATGCATGATAAGATAAGCAATGCATACAGACTTTGCTAACATAATATGAAGGGAAAGATTCACTTGGAAAACATATGCATAGGCAGGAGGATAATATTAGAATGGATCTTAAAATAGGGTGGGAGAGAGTGACCTGGATTCATCCATTTTCAAGAAAGGGTCCAGTGGTGGGTTCTTGTAAACATGTCTTCAATCCTTGGGTTCTGTAAATGGTGGAATTTCGTGATTTGGTGAGTCAGTATTGTTTTCCCAATAAGGACTCCTCCATGTAATTAGTTAATACTCTTGTACACTCTTAATATTCATACTTCTGCAAGGATTCGGTAACAGGATGTATGGTTTTAATAACCTTAGTTTTCATGCAGGAAAGGCCAAACCAAAAATACCCTCCTAGGTTTCTCAAGTCTAATGTGTATAAACGTGTAACTGTTCAGTTTGAAATTTCTTGCTTTGGACCAGCAGAGGACACCATTAAATATTTTGAAATTGACTCCATACTCTTACCAGTATGGATGGTGGGCAAGTAAATTGAGTTTTAAGTACTATGTACTATGATACTGACAAGGAGGGTAAACATGTGCTGGGCAAGGAATTGTATTTCTGATTTGTTGCAGGTTGCTGAAATCAGATTGCTTATGTCTTAATAGGTAAAACTCAGAATGCTGAACATTCTTTTGCAGTCTACGAATCATCTGTACCTATCTATAACAGATATGCCTCAGTATTTTTTTTTATTGCTAGTGGGGTGGGACTAAGTCCCTTGTACTGCGGGCACTTGTGGCCTATTGTACCAGCCCCAGATGATAGGTGAGGGTGATTGTGGAGCAGTTGGTGGAATGAAGATTGGCAGGAGAAACTGAAGTACTCAGAGAAAACCTGCCCCAGCGCTACTTTGTCCACCACAAATCCCACTTGACCAGACCCGGGATCAAACCCGGGCCGCCGTGGTGGGAAGCCAGCGACTAACCGCTTGAGGTATGGCGCGGCCTTATGCCTCAGTATCTAGAGTTTGTTTCTATATTTAATAATTTCTGTGCTATCTTCATAGTGTCTCAGTGAACTTGACTTGTTTATTTCTAGGTACTGCTATGTGTGATGTAGACATTATTATTCTGCCAGCTGTTTACAGTTGAAGTCTGCTGTTTATAAACAATATATGTTATTATAAGACAGTGAGTCAAAAGAAGACTTCCTTAAAATAATCTTAGTTTTGAGGGGTTTAGAAACATAAATGTTAAGATTATCATAGACCTTCAAGGCAAATGTCAGTCCTAAACAGCGATGTGGCATAACTTCATACCTTAGTAATAAAATGTATTTCTGTCAAGCCAACACAAATGTACAAGACTGAAACATATACACTTATAAAGAGAAGCAAAAGCAAAATCCAAGCACTGAATGTGACATTTTTAAGAAGTATTGAGGGGAAACAACAAAAAGGGATAGAATTAGGAATGAAATTTTTATGGAAGTTGGAACTGAAAAATCTTAAAAGTGTTAGAAGAGAAATGATTACAAATGTTTGGCCATGTAAAAACAATAGATAGAACAAATATACTGAGAAGGGCATTAGAATTAAGATGTAAGGCTGGAGACCTGTGTGGTGATTCAGGTAAGATGTCAAGAAGAGGAAACAGCTGGAAATAAAACAGAGAAGAGAGACTGTGGTAAGAAAGGAGGGAGACACTTTTTGTTATGGTTTCTCAAATAAATGTTTACCAAAATATGGCAAAAATTTTCAGAAAATTACATATACCTTGCAAAATATGTACCAGATTGAAAATATTTTCAAATGATAATCATAATCACAGTAAAAATGTCTGATGTATTTTTATGGAAAATATTTAGAGATGATACAGATTAATAAAATTGGTCTATCAAATTATATCCAAATCTGTTATCATTCAGAAAGTAAACAGTATTTTTATTGTGTCATACTGTTTAGTTCATTGAGAAAAATCTTGGCAAATAAAATGCGAAGAAATATTTTATCTAGTGAAGTAAGCTCATAATAAGGAAAGAAGCTGTGTGTAGAAATTCTATGTCCATCATCATTATCATCGGCACTGTCTTCTTTGTATTTTAATATAATAAGAAAAACAGCAGCAACAGAGTAATAACACTTAACAGCAGAATGTTGAGCAGTAGCTAAAGAACATCAGGATAGGGTATGCATACCGTTACACTTCAGTATTTGTAAATAAGTTGGTGTGAAAATGGAAAGGAGAAAAACCAGATCAAACAGGTCAGGATATTATCCAATCACTGCACTCCAGAACCAGCATGCAGATCCAAACATCATACTTCAAGACAGAAAAGGAACACTTTTGCTTGTTGGTGTTTGTGTACCATCTCATACAAATGTAGTGAAGGTTATACGATACTGAAATAAACAGATCTATGGGTTGAAGCGCAGCACACGTCAGAAGGTGATACCAGTAGGTGCAACTGGATACCTGTCAGGACTACTCCAGAAGTGCTTACAGGATACCTTGATAAACACTCCAGTGCAGCATTGAAGAGGAAGGTCAGCCACACACATCTTGAGGAAGATACTAGCATAGCACTGAATTTAATTTAAAATGTATTTTGCATGAAACTGATAAAATTATGGGCATTAGGGACAAGGTTTGTCTCTGGTTCATTGGCAGAATACCCTGTGATGTGATGCAAAAGTATAACAAAAATATATTTTTACTTTCCCTCAGTCTGTTTCTCTTCTCTCTGTCCCTAAATCTGCATCTTGGTCTCTCAGTATGCTCTTTTGGCTTTACTGTTACATGTTTTTGTATGATTACCTTTTCAGTGGTATGACAAAACTGCTTGATTTTTGATAGAGATATTCCACTGGTTCCCCCTATCTTTTACAACATCGTTCCTGAACATGCTAACTCCCCATATTTGAATCAGCGGCAGCATGTACTACATTTCATTTGGGCATCTCTCCATATGCAGTGGGTTTACCATTGTTACATTAGATGTGTCATTGTATCAAGTGGTATGAGCCACAGTCGCAAAAAACGTATTTTTTTTTAAGTTTTCCAAGTTGTAAAAAATAAAGTAGTGGCTCAAATGCAAGACTGTTCTTTCTGATTTAGTGAACAGTATAAATGCTAAGTGCAAGAGAAGTCATAGAAATTGTCATACAAAATTTTGTTGTGACTGTAACTTCATGCCGTCTTCTTCTTCTTCATCATAAGGATCGACAGCCTCATTTCTTGAACGCTTTGGCCTGCTCAACAATTTCCTTCCAGCTACTTCTGTCCTGTGTGCGAGTTGTCCAGTTATAAATTACTAAATCTTTTAAATCTTCCCTTATGTCATCTTTCCATCTGATCTTAAGTCAGTCTCTCTTTCTTATAGTGTGTGGCTGCCAGTCATATATTCTTTTAACTGTTCGTCCACCCTCCATCCTTGTGTAACTTCATGCCACTTACAGTTTTAATGTCTTTAATCTACTTTCTTTATTGAAGAATTGAAAGTAGGCTTATGTGGTCATTTTATATGTGCTGTCATTTCAAATTTTTAACCAGTTTACCAATTTCCACAAAATTTGGCATAAGTGTTACGTCATTATGGCTCATACCAACATTGAACGCACTAATCTCTGAGATGTGACATGAATGCCTGAAATTATATACAGTAATAGGGCTTAGAAAATATGCAAATTTTATTAATCTGTTTCTGTGTAGACTAAAACAGAATGGCAGCTGTATGAAATCTAAGGTGTAGCTTTGGTTTCATGGTGATAGCCAGGGCCCAGATTTTGATGACCTGAAAATATTTAAAAAATGACTTATAAAGTGACCAAAAAATCCAGAAAAATGACCTAAATTATGACCCAAAAATGTAATATGCAGGGCCCGGATTTTGATGACCTGAAAATATTCGAAAAATGACCTAAAGGAGAAAAGAAAGAACACTTCACTTCCGTGTTATTCACATTTCAGAAAACATATGAAGAAAATTCACTAAAATGGGCAAAAATGACATGAAATACCCTTAAAAGTCCAAAAATTACCCCCAAAATGAAAAAAATTACCTTAAACCTAAAAATTACCCATAAAATTTACATTTCTATAACCAGCAGCTCATATCTGAGATTTATATATTTAAGAGCATAGGATACAAGGAAAAAAAGATGACATGTCATCAAAATCCAGGCCCTGGTGATAACTAATGAATCAGTGGAACCAGATATGTTAACTTCACTATAGGTATAGATCATAAACATGTATACAGATTCTGTAATCAATATATCAGTCAGCAATTAAAAACGTGGCAGTGGGTAGAAAATTTGGAGATCATGTCAGATAAATTTAACTTATAATTAGTATTATGAAAAAGTGTGACTGGTTAAGATTTTTTTTTTCTTATTTCAATTATTCATGCCCTTACATGTTTCGGTCTTCAAGACCATCTTCAGAGGGACACCTTTACATCAATACAATTAGAAGCCACTATTACAGTACATGTTCTAAAAGTTAAAATATATACATACAATATAAATAATATACAATTGGGTGTAAAATCTAAAGTCTTTACAACTACAGCAGCTGTTCCAATACATTAAAATATTTATAGTTAGTTTGATAAGATTCTATTGGAATTTGTAAACCAAGCTGGTTCGTGTCGTCCCTCTTATTTCTTTTGATGGGGGTCGAATATATGCCCCCTTGTCGTTCTCGAGAATAGGGTTCTTTAATATTGTCCTGTAGGTGTTTGTGGCCTGCTATGTTGTTTTTCATAATATTAGTGTGACTGCCCAGCATGAAACAAATCAAATTTATAATTAGTACTTCAATAACAAGTTCTTCTAAATAATAATAATAATAATAATAATAATAATAATAATACTCTGTAACATGTTTACGGTTGCAAGCCTAAAAATTCTTAGGATTTGATCTCGTGATCATCTCCACGAAAGACCAGCTGGCTACATTGAGTTTTGCTGTTTGATTATAATTTACCTTAGCCAAATAAAGCATTAACAACACAAGATCTTAGTAGAAAATCTGCAACAGGAGAGTAGGCTTTGTGAGTTCTGCCCAGAACTTTTTAATTGAATTATATTTCACACTTCTGTCCGCTTTCACATTAGCATGAAGGAATGAAATAATTTCAGGATATAGATATATTATATTACTCACTCATGGAGCTGAGCCCTTTTTGAGAAGCTGCCAAATGTGCAGCTACTCAAGAACTTCTCAGCATATTATGGAACCCTTGGAATGTTAGAAGTATGTATAGGGCAGGTTCGCTCAGGGCAGTGGCAGAAGAAATCTCAATCTCTAAATTAGTGATAGGATGTCATTCACTGGTGTGATATCATTCTGAATGTTCATGCACCAATAGAAGATAGAGTTGACGATATAAAGGACAGGTTTTTCTGAAGAACAAAAACATGTATTAAGATATATACAAAGAAAGTAGTTTTATGAACAACCAAACTTCTTAACTTGGCTAAACATTCTCTTATACAGGGCTACTATAAATGATTCATTCGTTTTTAAAACACTATATTTTCCAAAGCAATACACATACAAATATGATTGATATATAAAAAGGACCGTAAACTCACCAAGTTTTCTTCAGACTCTACAAGTGTTCTATGTGTTCCCCTTGGGTCACACGACACGTGTCCAGGCGGTAGTCGAGCTCGTTCCACACATTTTGTAGCATCATCCTGTCAATGGTCATCACTGCAGCATCGATTTGTTCCCTCAGCTCTGCTAGTGTTCTTGACAGTCGGGGTACATAAACACGATCCTTAATGTACCCCCGAAGGAAGAAGTCACAAGTCGTTAGATCAGGTGATCTGGGGGGCCAAGTGAACAGAGCTACGTCATCCTCACCAACACGCCCAATCCAGCGTGTCCTTAAATTGCCGATACCAGCGCAAAATGCTTTGCTTACACGGAGGTTCTTTTCCATACTCTCTTTTGAATGCGCGTTGCACTGCTATAACAGACGAACATCTCGCATATTCCAACAAACAAAAACTCTTTTCTTGCTTTGTCGCCATTTTGTAAAGGCACTGAACTTGTGCTGCAAACTGGTGCATATAATACAAACTTGGCGAGTTTACGGTTCTTTTTATATATATCAATCATACATGTATGTATATTACTTTGGAAAATATAGCGTTTTAAAAACGAATGAATCATTTATAGTAGCCCTGTATTACATGCTGCCAATAAAGTTTTGAGAGTAAGTCATCATGGGATAGTGACATAGATCATTACATCACCATTAGAGTGTCACTATATCCTATTTTTAACATACAATGGGAACAAGAATTGTTATACTGAAGATCTGGTTTAAGACATATAGGACTTTTCTTCCATAACATTGCTTAATCAATGTATGATGTGTCTTCAAAGATGATGCTAAAAGCAGGGGAAGCTAGTGTTAAATCCAATGACCACTGATCCAGATGGGGATTTTTTGTGGAGACATATTGACAGTGACAACAGGCACATTCCTTTGGACTGTCAAGCCTGAAGAAGCTGCACTCAAGCTTTCAGAATCCAACCTGTTCATAATCCCTGAAATATACATGCAGCTTTATTCAAGATGGTTTTTGCTTTGTCTTTAAATTATTTATTTTCAGTTGGAATCTTTGAGTTTTCTTCACTTTAAGCGTACTGATATTTTATTTAAGTTTTATTAGCAGCTTTCTGTGAAGTTCTATCTTTTTAAGGTAAACAGGCTGCAAATGTTACTCTTTTTGTACTCTGAATTGTAAATTATATTTCAGAATTACAAAAAAATATAATTCTTATATTCATGACACTGTGGGCTTGTTACAGGTAATGGAATCTTACACAATTGGCCGGGAATGTTTTGGGATGGAGAAAGAGTTCATCATAGAAGTGGTTCAGAACTGTCCTAATCCTGCTTGTCGCTACTACAAGAATCAGCTTGAACTGTCACAGAAGTCACTTCATCTCAGTGCTCCGACCTACATCTCTGAGTCTGGAGGTGATGATAAGCTTGCTTTGCATTTCACAAGAAAATTATGATTCTTCTTCCTTAGACTAAGGGCCTGTTTTCTTGCCAGAGTGTGACTGTTGACACATTCAGTACAATTGTTTAATACTTTTTCTTCCTCTAAGAGGGATGTCTGTCTCTAGGCAGTGTGACATCATTGCATCTGCGCGGAAGTCTGTTTACTGAACCGTTGCCTAGAAATGCTATGGCCATCCATGTTACAATATATTCAAACACCACATCTGCTTAGAGGGTATACTCCCTAATGCTTACAAGGTCCTAACAGGGCAAACATATCCAAAAGTCTGATTTTGACCATTCTGAATTTCAGGCAGGCTCACATACTGAGTCATTGAATGTAGAATCTTTTATGCAGGAAGAGTGTATCATCTTTATAAAAATTAATACCATCGTGTCATGCTGAAACTGTGTTTTCAGTGTCCCTGGTATATTTTGCGTCTTTCAACCCACTAGTCTGTCATTAATGATCCTATCATTTGATGCTATGTAGCATGAGCTAGTGATGTTAATAATAACAATGTAAGTGAATAACTAAACTGAAGTGTGTTTCTTCTCTTCATGTTTTCTCTCTGTTAGTATTCAGTTTCTTTAGACCAAGCCAATTGTTTTGTTAAATTTTCTCCATTTAATATTTATTCAATTTATTATTTACCAGATAAATAATAAATGAGGTTTCACGGTGCGCTGAACAGTTAATTGTATTTGGAGATTTTTCTGTGTTTTTGAAGCACTGTGTACTGCACAGCATGCAATAAAATTATGATTCACAGCTCAATTTTAAGGTCATGTAGAAATTGTGAACTTTATACAGAAATCACATGTGCATGAAAAGTAAGTAAGTGATGAATGGTGCATCATTATCTAAATCAGTAGTAGTGCAGAGTCATTTGACATGTCTACATGAAGTTGTTAAAAACAAACTGTGTCAAAGGCTGTAACCACTCTATGTACTTTTACGGGCAGGTACTGATGTTTTGGGGGGAATGTGTTGCTTCCATTGTTATGGTTGAAGTTTTTTTTTTTTTAATTTATTTATTTAAGAACACTGTCAGTATCAAGACTGCACAGCATTGGTGATAGGATGGTAAATCAATATTGAGGAATTGGCGGAATGAGAATTGATTTAAGGTTAAAGTGTGTAAGTTCAAAAATAGGCTGGGTTATATCATGAAGTTACAGACTGTTGTAAACATATGTGACCTTTGTTTTTCTTAACACAATAAGGACTGGAGATTTAAGTATTTAAATCACCTTGGGGCTGCCATTATTATACAACTATCCTAACTTGTGTACTGTTCACTTTAAAAATTAATATAAAATCTCCTAATTAATTTTATGAACTAAAATTTTTGGAGAACACTTACCAATGCTCCTAGAAGTGATTGAGGGTGTGATATTTCGGGAAACATTCCCCTTTGTGTAATGGCATTACACAGAACTTGCAAATGTAGACATACTCCTTTTTTTTTGTGAACTGCACAGACACAGCATCGCCTAGAAGGCTGCTTCCCCTTGGAATGTTCACTCTTCACAATTTTCACGAGGGTATGTTTCCACATATCACCCAAGAGTCACCCTGGGGGTCCACATGAGGCCTGCGTTGGGTGGGAGTTGATGGGCCTGGTCGCACTAAGTCTGTGTCTGACTCTGGTTCTGCCGCTACCATCTGGTCTGTAGCCCAGGCCTTTACCACATTCATCAGAAATGCTTTGTATTTCAATTTCCAATCAGGGTTTAGATTTTTGTGGTTTTTTTAGATTTTTTACTGTCCCCGCAATGTTATTACACGCGTTATCGTCAGAGCTACTGTCACTTTTACTGTTTGTGGCCCTGTCACTGCCGCTCTCTGAATCACCATGACTATGCGTCTCACAAGGCAGGTCAGCTAGATCATCGGAGAAGAATTTGTCCTTGTCCGTACCCCACCACTAACTACTGGCTGATACATACAGCTCGAAGAGCAGCAAAGCATTTTCGTTTATAGTGGGTTAAGAAAACAGCGAGTTCAAGTTACTGACAAGTAAGCAAACATTCCAGAGTTTTATTACGCCATTGCATGCAACTTGGGTGGCGCCTGAGCAAGGTATGGTGTGTTACAACCTAACGTGTCCTAAAATCATATCATGTGACCAGGCTGCCACATTTAAAAGCCAAAAGCATGATATCATGCGATCGGTCCTCAATGTGTTAAAATGGTAACAGAGCATCGAGCCCCATAACAGTAACCATCTAGTTCACTATCAACAGAGATGCTGCACATTTCTTTACAGCATAACTTGAGCAACTGTAACAGTTGGTGATTGAGTGATTTGGCCATCAGATACAAAACACTGTCATACACTAATACCTACCCTAATACTGCTCTTATTAATATGTAACCACACTTTATTTGTAATGATCTCAGATGTAAGAAATGAGTGCAGCATTCAAGATAACTCCCAGCTCTAACTTACAGTTTCCACAGATAACCTGTCCACCCCTTCTTGTACTTTAAATTATGATTTCACTGAGTAAGCATGGAATGAACAATGGGAATTTGTTTTTGGCAAAGCTCAAGACTGCACTGCCAACTGAAGCATACGTATTCCTCTCACAGCTGTCTGGCAGCCCTACCTTAACTACTAACAACAATGGCATTCTTTGTAAGGATGACGGAATAAAGACAGTTGGAAGCCTTAGGTGTTCTATGTTCTTATGTAGGGGGGTATGCAATAGTGTAGTTGGTTGAGGCACTGTGCTACAAGCCAGAAGGTCACAGGTTCAATTCCTAATGAGGTCAGTGGATTTTCAGTCGACCGAATCCTCCCAGCTGCACTATGGCTCTGGGATCAACTCAGCCTTTAACAGAAATGAGTACCAGGAATCTTCTTGGTGGTAAGGGGCAGCTGGCCAGCATGTAAGGCTGACAACCTGTGAGCCAGTTGTCTAGAAAATGTGTTAGCCTTGACATCTCACAACCCTGTGAGTCTCCACAGCCTGTTATTGGGACAGCTTGGTGCATAATGTGGACCACCTCACCATCTTTGAGTTGACTGTCTAGAAAATGTGGGAGCCTCAACAACCTATTACAGGGAGAGCTTTACCTTTCATTTTAAGGTTTTTTATGTGAGGATGATATTTAATTTTCTTTCAACAGAACACAATATTTCAGCTGATAAAATCTATTTGAATGCCAACAGGAAGAAAAGGCTTGAAGATGGGGACACAAATGTATTCGAATGCAGGCTCAACTCAGTTGGGAGTGGCTCCAGATACCAGTGGGATGCTTCGAGGTGGGGCATACTCCAGTGGAGGCCCCACAAGCGAGTTTAATGTGCCACTGCCTCATGCCCAGCAAGGATTATCTTTGCACCATCATGGTGCAGGTAGTGCTGGTACAGCACCGGTGGACCTGACTGGCCTAGCCCCAGACAAACCACCCACTTCAGTGTCCACGCCAAATCGCGCACAGCAGATGTCCGATAAATCTGGTCGGGCAGTCGGTGAGCCTGCACACAAACAGCAAAAGCAGCAGCAGCAGCAGCAGCACTATGATCAGTCTGCCCCAGCACCACCAACTGATCACAAGCTTACAGATTTTCTTCGCTCTAACCTTGAGAACCTGGAGGGCCTATCAAGTGCAAACAAGGTGATTATATTACAGTAATTGCTTGAAAAGTTAACCTTGTGTCACTCCTTCGTATATCTTATCCAGCATTGCAAATATCACTGTGAGTTGTGTAAATTATTGAGATTTGAGGTTCTCAGGTGGTGAATAATAACACATTCACTGTCAGTCCCATTACTTGGCAGGTTGAAGTTTACGTTATGCCACTGAAGGGCAGTTTTCCTTCTTTAGATGTCACTCAGATGCAGAGGTACTTCATGTGTAGCTTGTTGAAGTATAAAAGAGTTCAAACATATGATAACTGTCAATTGTATTTTGCTTGTTCGCTTCCCTTCCGGATGTAAGTTCTTATGTGACTGAGCAAGTCAAATCCCAGCACAAGGACTTGGCAGGGAATGCATTAAGACTGCATTCTCCTGGATTGTGACATTCTGTAGTACGATAGGTGTTTCAGAGGAACTACTGCCTTCATCTTCAGGGTAGGAGAAGTAAGCCAAAGAGGGAAAATGATGCATAGTGCAGGGAGAAGAAGAGATATCTCTACCAGGCTACATGGCACGACCTCTAGAATGCTGTCACTTGGTAAACAATCCACTGAGCAAGCTGGTGCAAGTGGTAAAGCTTCTAATTGGTATTCAAGAGGGACCTGGTTTGAATCTTTGTTGGGATACTAACTTCTTGACAGGTTTCTCATGGTTTTCTTCAGTCCCTCCAGGCAAATGATATCTGAAATTAGCCATGGCAGCATCGTTAAATAAACTAAAAATAAATATAATAAATTTTAAAGCCACCTGCTTTCATGCGGGTATCTTGCTGGGCTTATTTTTCAACTCTGAAGATGGAGGCGACAGGTTCCTCTGAAACATTGCATGACTTTCAGTGGAGTACACAGCGCTATATCCCAGAAGATATATCTCTTCATAACCACTGCTGTGAGAACCTCAGATCCTACATAGCACTATATCCCAGAAGATATAACTCTTCATAACCAGTGCTGTGAGGACCTCAGATCCTACATAGCAGTATATCCCAGAAGATATAACTCTTCATAACCACTGCTGTGAGAACCTCAGATCCTACATAGCGCTATATCCCAGAAGACAGAACTCTTCATAGCCACCGCTGTGAGAACCTCAGATCCTACACAGTGCTATATCCCAGAAGACAGAACTCTTCATAACCACCGCTGTGAGAACCTCAGATCCTACATAGCGCTATATCCCAGAAGATATAACTCTTCATAACCACCGCTGTGAGAACCTCAGATCCTACATAGCGCTATATCCCAGAAGATATAACTTTTCATAACCACTGCTGTGAGAACCTTGTATCCTACATAGCGCTATATCCCAGAAGACAGAACTCTTCATAGCCAACTCTGTGAGAACCTCAGATCCTACACAGCGCTATATCCCAGAAGACAGAACTCTTCATAGCCACTGCTGTGAGAACCTCAGATCCTACATAGCGCTATATCCCAGAAGACAGAACTCTTCATAGCCACCGCTGTGAGAACTTCAGATACTGCAATAAGAAGGAATTTTTCATCCACATTTGCAGTTACATTTTTAATGAAGAACTGTTGGGAAGTTACTGCTGTTTTATTGTGATATTTAGCAAGAGAGTTAAAAGTAAAAATTAAATTAAATTGTGATATCCTAGCAGTTTACCTTCATAAATACTGTTACGTGTATGAGTGACTACAGATGGGGTTCAGATTGGAGATTGGATTTATTAACCACTCATTCATAACTGCAGTGACTATAGCAGCCTGGTTTACATACTCTAACTGTAGCACACATAAAGTCTTCTATGTCTTCACTAGTCATTTCCTGGCAATGGATCTTAACAATGTCCTCTGTGCATGTCTTTACTGTCTGGCGAATATCCCACAGCTCACTCACTGCTTCAACTGACTTAACTCCCAGGCTGACAGCCATCCTGCACCAACCTCATAGTCTTCTCTTCGTAGGCTGACTGACTGCAGCTCCCACTTGTCCTGCTTATAACATTCATCATGAACTGCACGGAAAACTCCGTTCCTTGTTATTATAGAGTTGTTGCTTGTTAAGAATCTGCTGCCTAGCAGCAGGCCTGTACACCAATACTGTTACACTCTTCACATCTAGCTTTTCCGAAATGTGCCAAGTACATACCATTTTGCAAGGAACTGCAAGTTTAAAATTTAGAATTACTGACAATGTTCTATCTGTATTATATGTATTCATGTACTAAACTATACACATGTGAGAATGAACTTCTTTTTAGAAATAAAGATGACCCAAGTTAAAAAGAATATGGTCTTTCAACATACCTTTCAGTTAACAGATTCTGAATATTTGAGTTGAGTTTCTGGACTGAGAACAGGTAGACTTCCTTTGTTAGTCTGGTCTGTATTTATTCTAATGAACACTGTAGAATAGGTCTCCTTATAAACATTATTAAGTTGACTGTTGACCGAAACTGCACACTAAACACAGGACAGTTCTCAAAAGAGTACAGTGTTCGGGGGCGTGTGACACCATGCCATAGAGCAGTAGGTTTATGATCAGAGAGAGCAGTTTTCTGGGCCTGCCATGCAGGCCAGACAGAGCCCCGTGTTTTAGGGGAACACAGTGTGTCCATGTTCTTGTTGGCTTACTCTTCAAACATGATGAGAGAAGCATGTTCTTCCAAAAAAAGATTGGGCTGTCTCTGAATCACATGGCATTACTGCTGGTACAGTACAGTAGTACATGCAGGCAACAGTGGAACGACGGGGTTATGCAACCCGCTTCTAGGCAACGGCTTGGTAAACGCACTTCCACACAGATGCACTGACATCACATCCCAACAGTGCTTAGCTCTCAAGTGACTTGTGTTTTCTGTGTGATCTGCATTATGTAACAGTAGAACTGTGTTTTCTGCATTGTCCATTGCACACCTATATAATGAGAATCCTCTTGCTTCTAAGAAGAGTTTGTAGATGAGCTCCGAGGTTCCAGGGTGATTGAACAAGAAATGGCAAGAGAACTTCATAGTGATTTGAAGTTCTACTTTCTGTGTTGAGATCTGTTGCCAGGAGACGACTAGTGGACACAGAGAATCCTAGTGCGTGTGCAACGGTGAACTGAAATTGTGTAAATCAGCGACGGCACTCTATTAATTGTAATTAAGAGAGTTGTAATCAAAGTGCCAGTCAATCCAACTGTCCAATCTAGAACCAGTTTTTTTCGTCACATGTACCCCCCTGCATATGGTAATACTTATATTGTAACTCGAGGCACAATCTCTATTATGAGTATGATGCACTGCATCAAATGTTGATCCACATTAGAAGTCAGTGACCGTAAACGTATTCATATAATACTACCTGATAGTGGTCCCATGAGGACCAAAACATGTAGCAAGAAATACATTTCACTATGTAAAATACTGATTGATTGTATATCATTTGTTTTTACAATGGCTAACCTTAATCTTATAGGAACATGCTTACTCACTACCTGAAGATTGCATGTTAATTCTTATGATAACATTCCATGTTTCAGGACCTTCTAGCTCTGCATAATGGTGCCTGGGCTAACAGTGACAGTGATAAGAGGATTCCTCCAGCTTCAGAAGGTGGGTGTTTAGGACCTGACAATAGTGGTTACCATTAAGTCTGTACCTGACAGATATGCCAAATGTAGCAGCTGAGTGGGTAGCACTTCTTCTTTGTATTTTGGAGGTCTCAGGCTTAAATCCAAGGGCAGAGACTGCCTATCCTAAGGGTTTCCATTGTTTTCATCAGTCCCTCCATGCAGATGCTGGGGTAGTACCTCATATTAGGCCATGGCTGCTTCTTTCCACATCTCCAAATCATTGTTCAATTTGAGCTTTTGAAAGTATCTTTAAATAAACAATAAATAAATAAGTCCAAATGGTTCATGTATAATTATAGGATGTTGTAACAGAGAACAACACATCACACATTAGTCAAATGCTTAAAGACCAAACAAAAAGACTGGAATTGCGAGGGACTGCTATTACTAGTGGCAGATCTTAAAGCCCCGTGGTAAAACAAAGGCAGAGAGGAGCTTCACAGTTTCTGTCAAAACACCAAACGCGACAGAGGAGAAAGCTACTTTGAAAGGTGCTACAGGAAAGGCTCGTCTCCGTGGTTCCAACAGATAAAAATGAACCGTCATGCCTTCATGTCAATAAACCATATGAGAGCAGGCCACTCCAGTCTTAAAGCAAGCTTGAGAAGATTTAACACTGTGTCCACGCCGAATGCAAATGTGGTGACGGGCTGCAAATGGAGGAACATATCTTCTGAGACAGTAAAGCGAGGACCAAAGGGCAATAGTGATGGACATTTTGTCTGAGAACAGCAAAAAGCTGAAGTCAGTTACAGAGCTCTTGAGGCTAGAGAAAAAAAACAGTTGTGGAAGGCATCTGTTACCTCATAAAGAAAATTCCTAAATTTATTAAAAAAGGAAAAAGAAGTAAATATACAAAAGATTAATAGTATACTCTAGAAGAGTTAAGAGATATATTAAAAAATCACAGGGAAACCACTATGATAGAGTAAGATGTTTATAAGACTGTGCTATAGAGGGCTGGATGGGCATTGCCTAGGCCTTTTTTGTATAAATATATATTTATTTTTTCAAAATAAAAAAAAGGTATTAATTTCATATCATGAAAGATCAGAATTTCCTTAAACATGGTCAGGGTAGTAGGTACGATATTCTGTCTTACTAGAAAGGTGTCTCTTATGGAGCAGCAGTACTCTGCAGAGTGTATCAGTGTGAATCAGTGTGAAGTGAATGTTCTTGTGTCCCATGTTGCATCACGAGCACAACTTAGAGCTATGCTGTATGTCTTCAGTGGGCAGTTACTGCTTGTTACTAGAACTACTTCACTGACTTGTGTGCATTGGTTTTTCCCAAAAGTGGTCATGTAACTCAAGAGTTGTTTATGTTACTCATATGGTTTTACACTGTCTATACATTTTCATTAAACATATGTACTTTATGTTAATGTTGTAATACCATTCATTTTACCCATTTACATATTGTCACATGTATGTGCCTGGCTATCAACAAGGTTTTGGATTGGAGATTGGATTTACTGGCCACTTAAACACAAGACTCGTGACTACACTTAATTATAGTGCCAACACTAATCTCCGCACTTTACAGATCACTACACCACATGCTAAGTTTTTCAGCCTGCTGTGTCTTCACCAGTTGTTCCTTGGCAGTGGCTCCTAATAGTGGAGATTTTTCAGCTTCTGTGCTCACTTTGTTGTCCGCTGGCTCTCATCTGCACCGACTAAGTCTTCTCTTCATAGACTCCCTTACAACTCTCTGTACTCTTGCTTCAGTTGCCCTCTTTATAACATGTTGGCACAGATGGCGTATAGAACACCATTCATTGTTGTATTCAAAATGTTTCCGTGGGAAGATGTTTGCTTGTGAAGATGTTACTCAGTAAGAGCTGTGTATACTTGCTTAATAAGAATGAGTTGCCTAGCAGGGGGTATTGTTTTGTTGTTTGTTTTGAGGTTGTTACCCAGTAACAGGTCTGCACACTACAATAACCTGTTTGTTTTGTTTTTAGATAACAGCATTCATGCCAGATTTATGTAAGTCAAAATCAAGAAAACTGGGGATACCTGCATAGCTTTTTTCAGCCTTTTAGTGATGCTATTAAACTTTTTACCAAGGAACAGTATTTTCTTTTGGTCTCTTTCACTTGTACCTGTAACAATCTCTTCTGTAACTATAGGTACTGAATAATACACGATCACGTGTTTTCCTATGATGTGTGATGTTCATATTCTGTTGAATAATTTTGAAATGGACAGTGAGAAGTGGAAAGATATACAACATCCTCAGATAACACAACCCTGAGAAAGGACAGAAAGTTTGATTTGTTGGTTAATGCAATGTAGTCATTTCAACTGCAATGGTTACACACAATAGTCAGTACAAACAACATGTTTGATTCAAAGCTTAAAAACTATATGTATCCCTTTAAATCACAGTGTACATATCTGTGTCATATGATTTTCACAATAAACAGCATTGAATGATCTGTGTTTGTCATGGAGATGCAGTTAGTTTCCTGGAATTGACATGCTTTTCACACTTTGAAGTGTTAAATCTGACTTAGCATAAGTTTTCGAAGTGATACTTCTTTCAGGTTTTACTGTGATACAAGTGTTACTCTGCATTTCATATGGTCATGTCATATCCTGTAGATCTGTCCATCACTCTCCTGAGAACCAGCTGAGCCTCTGCATATATATAATGAACCAATGTCCTATATCCAACACCTGCCCTCTGGTCAGTGGACTCAGAATAGAGAGATGTGTGAGTTGTTCTGGATGTCAGTAGTAGTTGTAAGAGTGTGGTCAGACTGAGTCTCTTGGTAATGCAGCCTCAGATGGGCCTGTGGTACCTGCCCCTGATGGCAGATGAGCATGGAGTGTTGGTGAAATTAGAATTAACTTGGAAGAACCAAAGTGCTCAAAGATAGATCTACCCCAGCGTAAATCTATCCACTGAAGATGCCACTAGGACTATGTTGAAACTGGAAATGTTATCACCTTCAAAGTGGTTCCCTTTCTGACCCCTACACAGCTCCATGTGAATTCACCACTGTTGGAAGCAATGCTGCAGGTCCTTTTCTGATAGCTTCTTCATTACCTCCATTGCCTTTGCCTTCACTGCATCTACAGACTCAAAACGGGATCCTTTTAATGCAGACTTGTCCTTTGGAAATAAGGAAAAGTCACATGGGGCTAGGTCAGATGAGTAAGGTGGATGTTCCAACATGGGGATCTTGTGTCTCGCCAGAAACATTTTGGCAGACAGTGCATTGTGTGCCAGGATGTTCTCATGGTGAAGAATCTGCGAGCCCTTCTTCCACATTTCAGGTCTGACCTTCAGGCACCCAATCAGTGTGAATGGCCCCTTGGATACTGGAAGAAAACAATCATCATTGGTTTGAAATTTGACCTGCTCTTCTGTGCTTTTTTTTTTTTTCTTTTTTCTTGGTGACCTGGGACTCTTCCAGTGCATGGATTGGCGCTTAGTTTCCGGGTCATACTAGGAAAACCATGATTCATCACAAGTTATTACATTCCCTAAAAAGTTTGGATCATTTTCAGTGTTATGAAGGCTGTCAGCACAAATGTTCATTCGAGTTTCCTTTTGCTCAGGAGTGAGGATTTTCAGCACAATCTTTGATCACACTTTCTTGATGTTAAAATGTTCATGTAAAATCTGTCAAACAATTTTTTTTAAACAATTTCACTGACTTTTTGAATGTTCACTCTCTCCCTTTCCCTCTTTAGAACTTTTGAACCACTTGAAAACTTGAGTACGAGATAGACATTCATCACCATAAACTTCCCTCAACAAACTATATGTTTCTGTAGTGGATTTCCCAAGTTTTACAAGAAATTTCACACTGACATGTTGCTCTACTTCCACACTTAACATAATTCTGACAGAGCTCAAATACACAGTCCACTTCAAACAAAGGCTGACACCCCACTGTTGGCCTTGGAAGTTGTTGGGTTGATGGAGGGGAGAGGACAGGCTAATATGCCACCCTCCTCACTGTTATCAAGGCCACAGGGAGTCGGCAAAAAGATCAGTCTTGTTATTTTATAACTGCTCCATATATCCTTGAGCCAAAACCTTTTAAGAGAAGCCACAGTGACTAGCCACCCGAGCTGTGGCAGAGCCTGGCCACAGCAATATGTACCACTTCAGTGTTTTATTTGTTTACAGTTTGTGATTTCTTTTCCAGTTGGCCAAGAAAAAATTGTGCGAGCATTTGCTGAGATTATGAAAAATATGTCTCGCATGAAGACATGTGTGCGCCCAGCTATGTGCAAACCATATGGAAAGCAGTCAGAAGCACTTCAGAAAAGTATGTCTCACATTTCTACTATGCATGTGCAGGAATGACTTTTTCAGGAAGAGAACAAGTTGAGGCAAGAATTTTAAAAAAATCTGGGAATTGAGATGAATGAGAATTTTCTGTAACCACCATTTATTGCACTAGACGCATTGTACTGAAGCATATCAACTGCTGACATACAGAAATAGAGGAAACTGCAGTGTACACAGAAAGAGAGAGAGTGTGTACGTGTTTGTGTTTTGATAAGTTGATTTATGTTAATGTAGTCAATCATTATGATTTTGGTCAGGTAGTTCACATACTGTCCATGTTAGATGGGTCCCTTGTCACCATTGCATGGCACGTCCTCAGGTTGCAGATGCAGGAGAACTGCAAATATACTGAATAAGAAGTCGCGGACAGCTGACAAGGGGTGGTCCTCCAGCTTGGGGGTTGGGCATGGAGCTAACAACTCCTCACCATAAAAAGTAAGCTTGTTACGAAAGATCAAAAGAAGCCTCAGACCTGGATGGATTACTTGGAGAAACAACCTAAGCTAAAGAAAATGGATATGAGATTGAGCACGTGGAATGTTAGAAGCATGTAAAGGCCAGTGGCCAAAGAAATCTTAAAATATAAGCTAGATTTAGCAGGAGTACAGGAGGTCAGATGGGACAGAGGGGGCATCGCATCAGCAGGCGAATATACATTTTTCTATTGAAAGGGGAATGAAAATCATGAATTAGGTACAGGTTTTTTCATACATAAGAGAATTGTATCAGCAGTTAAGAGGGTAAAGTTCGTTAGTGATAGGATATCATATATAATACTAAAAGGTTGCTGGTGTGATATCCTCATTACGATGTTCACACCCCAACAGAAGATAAAATTGATGACATAAAGGACAGGTTCTATGAAGAACTAGAACACGTATTTCATAAATTCCCGAAGTACCCTATGAACATTTTGTTAGGAGATTTCAATGCCAAAGTAGGGAAGGAAGACATTTTCAAACCAACAATTGGGAAAGAGAGTTTGCATGAAATTAGTAAGAATAATGGAGTTAGAGTAGTAAACTTTGCCACATCAAAAAATCTTACTGTTAAAAGTACAATGTTCCCTCATCGTAACATTCATAATTTTAGTTGGACATCTCCTGATGGGGAGATACTAAATCAAATCAGCCATATTTTGGTAGATATGAGATGGCATTCAAGTATACGTTGTAACTGTCCAATTTATGGGATGGTCAGTTGATGTTCTGTGTATTGTTAGGGTTCCATGAAATTCCTCACTTTCGTCTCACAGTTGGAGATTTCCCCCTGAGACATGTGGCAGGTGGCTTGGGTCAAGTTCAAAGCCAGCTGCCCATCGGTAAATCAGTCAAGTTAATGTGTAACACGAGACCAGGTTCTTTAGAAATTCTGAACTTTGACAGGTGAAGTCCTAATTTTAGCAGCACTGTTTATGCTACCCCAAGTTCCAGTTTGACAGCCATGCAGCAGGTGGCAAATTTCACCCCTAAACTCTACATGCGTGGTTATTTCTTTTTCTAATTGGAGGAGAAAGATTAAGCAACCTCCCATTCTGCCTGGTCAAGCCAATCAGAATCTGAAGTGGGACGTCCTTTGCCCGAATTTTGGGTAACCAGGGCAAATATTTACCATTCACAGTGTGCTTCGCAAAGAACTCTGAAATTTACATTCACTGCAGGTACATGTGTTCTGGTCCCTGTACATACACTCTGTAGTACCTATTGACTGTGTGTCTTAGTAACCGGTAAAGGAGCCTAAATCCACCAATCCATTGAATGAATCATTACAGCGCAGTTATCACTTGAATAGTGCAACCCTCTTGATGTTGAAATTGCTATTGCAAAACTGAAAAGATATAAATCGCCAGGTAGTGATCAAATTCCAGCAGAACTTTTTCAAGCAGGAGACGAAATATTACGTTCTAAGATCCATAAGCTAATTACTTCTATTTGGCATAAGGAAAAATTGTCTGATCAGTGGAAAGAATCTATTATTGTACCACTTCACAAGATGGGTGATAAAACTGACTGTAGTAATTATTGGGGGATATCACTGCTATCAACTTCATACAATATTTTATCCAATATTCTTCTCTCAAGGTTAAGTCCATACATAGATGAAACTATTGGGGATCATCTGTGTGGGTTTTGACGTAACAGATGAACTACAAATCAGATCTTTTGCATTCGTCGGATATTGGAAAAAGAAATGGGAGTACAATGAGACAGTACATCAGATATTTGTAGACTTCAAGAAAGCCTACGATTCAGTTAAGAGGGAAGTATTTTACAGTATTCTGATAGAGTTTGGAATACCCATGAAACTAGTGAAGCTGATTAAAATGTGTTTAAACGAAACTTATAGTAAAGTCTGTATAGGCAAACATTTGTCCAATAAATTTCCTATCCAGAATGGTCTAAGACAAGGAGCTGCTTTATTGCCACTCCTTTTCAACTTTGCCTTAGAATATGCAATTAGGAAGGTCCAGGTAAGCCAGGTGGGACTGAAATTAAACAGGACACATCAGCTGTTGGCCTACGCCGATGATGTGAATCTACTGGGTGATAATTTAGATACCATAAAGAAAAACACACAGACTGTAATTGACACAAGTAAAGAAGTTGGTCTAGAAATAAACACAGAGAAAACTAAGTATATGTTACTGTCTCATCACCAAAATGCAGGGCAAAATCATGACATAAAGATAGGAAACAGATGTTTTGAAAATGTGGCACAGTTAAGATATTTGGGGACAACGATAACAGATCGAAACCTGATTCAGGAGGAAATAAAGAGGCGATTGAACTCTGGTAATGCTTGTTACCATTCAGTCCAGAACGTTTTGTCTTCTCATGTGTTGTCCAAAAACATAAAAATTAGAATATACAAAACTATAATTTTGCCTGTGGTTCTGTATGGGTGTGAAACTTGGTCTCTGACATTAAGGGAGGAACATAGACTGAAGGTGTTGAGGAGAATATTTGGACTGAAGAGGGATGAAGTGACAGGAGGTTGGAGAAAACTGCATAATGAGGAGCTTCATAACTTGTACTCTTCTCCAAGTACAATTAGAATGATCAAGTCAAGGAGGATGATGTGGGAAGTTCTATAACTGACCCACTCAGTGAGACTTCAAGCCCCACACGTTGGTCATCACTTATAACTGTTCTCTTAGTGCCCTTACGTTGGGCTTCACTTAATCTTTTGTAACCGTCCCTCCTACCTTCCGCCTGTGGCTCCGTCTGAATAGTAGTGCAGGGAGTGGCAGTCGATGGCGATCGGCCCCTCTGCTCCGATGACCACTTTGACGCTGCCCTATGTGGTGTTGCTGCTGTTGAATTTGCTAGGTTGTAGCTGGTTTAGGCTTTGGGTTTGGATTTCAGGATTGGATCTGATAGTATGAGTGACAGCAGACAGTTAGAGACTGTTTACGATTCATAGTAAGGGGGGAAGGAGTAAGCATATGAAAGCTGATGGTGGGTTTGACTAGCTAGAGGAGATGAGTCTCTCTTCAGGTTGGATAAGGGGCAAGCTCGGACAAGTGAGGGTGAAGCACCTCTAATCAACACAATTCACTGTACCACCACAACACTTTATTGTTATTCTTCTTAAAGACACTCGGCTGCATAAATTCACACATTCTGATTTAGTTTTGGCTTACAAGCAGCGGGTCTTACACTTCCACTAAAATGCTCTCGATCAGCTGACCAAATTCCTTGGTGCCGCGCTCTTGTTGATTAAGCTAAATCTCAATATGAGTAGTTATGAGAGCAAAATTTTGTACTTAGAATTATCTTTTAGCGCGTGTGATGCAGGGTTTGCATCTGCCAAGTTCAAAAGTTGATAGACGACTAAAATTCTTAGACTGAACTCTCTGCCAAGCCAGAGGTCCTAACTGAGTTGCACCTGCCTATTCTCCTCTCCTCTTAATTTCCCTGATAGGCTGATTCAAATAAGGGGAGTTGGTTTAATTTTGGTTCCGGTCAATGACAGACTATTTTTAAGGGAATTTCACCCTAAAAGACAAAACAGCGAAATTGACAGCGATGCAACTTATGAGGGGTCCCTAATGATCTCCTGGCACTCCCACTTTTGACTTACGGCTGGTAGAAACTGTCACTTCTCGAATTCTCAAAGTGTTTTGCTGCTGTAAGGCTAATTCTACATTTCTAAAGAAACTCAGTGGGGTTTCTTGAAGTATCACTTTTTGCCCTTTTGGAAAATAACACCAGATGCTTGGATGCAAGGACTAGCAGATATCCTTGTTCGCGCAAGTTTGGTCTGTCTGCTCATCGCCTATTCCTTGTTCTTACAGTGTGTCGTAAACCTTTGTTTCCTCATAAATTCATATTATTAACTCTATTAGCTACTAAAAAAAGGGGGGGGAAGGATTTCGATGGTGCGGTTACAGGTCATGTAGCATGAATGGGGGAGAATAGAAATGCACATAGGATATTGGCGGGAAAGCCAGAAGGAAAGAGACCACAGGGAAGACCAAGGTGTAGGTGGGTGGACAATATTAAAATGGATCTTAGAGAGATAGGATGGGATGGTATGGATTGGATTTATCTGGCTCAGGATAGGGACCAGTGGAGGGCTCTTGTGAACACGGTAACCTTCGGGTTCCATAAAATGCTGGGAAATTCTTGAGTGGCTGTACAATTAGCGGCTTCTCAAGAAGGGCTCAGCTCCATAAGTAAGTAAGTAAGTAAGTTCGCATGCTGTGGAAGCAGAAAGCAAGTATCTGAAAATTCATGAAGTTCAAGACTGAAAAATCACCTAATTGAGATTTTTTTCACGATTCATAAAGTCAGAAATGCAAAATTCACACATGTTTATGTGTGCCTTATGTGTTGGACCAGAACAAGATGGACTCTTCTGCATGCATGATACAGTGCAGTGCTACAAGGTGTATACCAGAGGTTGTTTGTTATGTTGTGCCTCGGGATATGGTCAGTATTGACCTCTGGCCTCAGCCCACTTAGGCAAGGGTAT